CACTGACTATGGGTCTTGTTAAAATATGTTCTCAGCAAATTGTTTGCGGAAGTGACCACCTGCATTCCCTTCTGAAACTGCCCGTATGTCAAGGCCTAAAATGGAATGAACTCCTCTGACTGTTTACTGACTCTGATTTACCTGCCACTCCTGGTCGATGAGCTCCTGTGGAGTTTTACTGCGCAGACAGTCCACCAGCTCAGTGTCATTGCCTCCGTTGCAGCCAAGCAGTTTGCCCAACAGCATGGCCCGTCTGCGGGCCTCAGCAGGGCTGACAGAGGCCCAGGGACAGTTGGGGACCCCGCTCTGAAGGATGGCCCTGGTGAAGGTAGGCCGGCTGTCTGGAGACAAGAGGTGGAATCCTACTGAAGCAGCACCTGCACTCTCACCAAAGATTGTCACCTGTTTAACGAGTATTAAGAGAGCAAATAGAGAGATCAGGACCACAATTAGCGTTAAAACAGCGGGATAGACAAAAAAAAAAGGGAGACACTAACCTGTTTGGGGTTTCCACCAAAGAAATGGATGTTGTCTTGGACCCACTGCAGTGCCATCCTCTGGTCCAGCAGACCCACATTGCCAGGAGCCTCATAGGAGCCATGCAGAGCAAGGAAGCCGAAGGCACCGATCCGGTAGTTCATGGAAACCACAATGACTGTCTCAGTGTGAGCTAGGTAACGGCCATCATATACATCCAGAGAAGAAGAACCACTGTAGAACCCTAGAAATTTTGAATATCACAGCATGATATTAACCAATTGTATCACAATCTCCAACAACAGACAGAAGCTTTGCCATCTAAAATGAAATGTCCACAGTAATTTAAGGTTACAGTTTAAAATATTTAATGAGTGTCATGCATACTCTCCAGTAGGTTAAAATTTATAAGGAAACAGTTGAAAAGGTATGAGTCTAAATTACACCAAATCCATATTTTTCATCTGAAAATGCATTATGACCTCACGTTGTGTCAATCACTGACTCTGAAACCTTTGTCTGTCAATAAAGTTTTGAGAACAGGCTTGATGTTCTGCGATTTCAAGCGAAAATACGGCCTTTGCCTTAAGAGACACTGTCATAGTCTGAGTTGCATTATCAATTTTTTTTTCTTGTGCTCCAAAACTCCCCCTTATTATTTTTCAGATGCAGCTCACTGCTAATTGACTAGCTGGACTGCAATGACAAATAATAGTGGTTAAGAGGGCAGCCATGTCTAGCGTAAGTTCAATCTAAGGCACTGTGACTGATTCCCTGTGCCTTCTGAAGTGAAAATGACTACTTCTGGATTGTCTGCCTACAAAGAGTGAAGGAGTGGACATGGTTGTTGCATATCAAATAGAGGTCTAAACTAAAAAAGAAGAATGGTGCATATACACTGTGAATTTGGAACTGAAACAGGTGAATATAGATCATATACGTATTTGTTACTCATGTTCACACAGTAGTGAACGTGAATTTCAAATAGAAGGTGGCAGCCTCTTGGTACATGGCTACCACATTACTGACCATTAACACAATTATACATATTACACATTATAAAGTGTTATTTCTTAATACCTAGAGAAATGATTAGCTGGATATTGTTAAAGCTGCAGTAGGTAA